GACTCAGGAACCCAGCATTCCCATAGAAGCAACTCCCATGAAAAGCACAGTCTCGGTGAGTCAGTCTCCAGTTCCCCTTTTCCTTCTCTCAGTCTCAGACTGGGCAGCTCTAGTGTGTGCCAGGTATCAGCTCCAGCACAGCCCTCCCTCAACCTGTCAAAGCATCCCTTTGTTGTCCAAGGGGAGCTCGTGATTCAGCAGGTACTTGACGTGTGGTCTCTTAGGAAATACCTTCCAGGCATCTAAACAGTTCACTACCCACTGACCACATTCCCAGCTAACAAATGCTTCACACAAATGAGTGGCCATCTTAATCTGGGAGTAGCAGGGCTGCCTTGAGGCCTGGGACTGGTGGTGAAATTCCTAGCTTGGGTTGATCTTCAGCTTCAGGAAGTCTTAGGCATTTTCAGTGAAACACAGATGGTTTCCCAGCATTCTTTTCAAACTAGGGTACTGGATGGAAATAGGCCAAAAAATGTCATCCGTAGCCACAATGAAAAGCTGGCTTTTAGCCACTAATTATTTCCTCCTAATCACTCAAGTATAGCAAACCAATCATAAAGCGAGAGCCTTTGGAAACCCCTGTGTGTACATATCCATCGACTCATTTGCCAGTGTCTGACTGTGTTACCAAGTCTCCTGAGAAGGCTTGTACAAGATACTGGAGACATGAAGTGTGTAAGCACTGATCCTTTAGAACTCAGTATACTGGGAAGAATGGTGTCCTTACCTAGTTAGTGTTCTATAGCAGTACATTTCACACACAAATATGATGAAATGCCATGGAGAGAGGTTTGGGTACAAGGGAAGGGTTGAATAGGCCCTCAAAGAAGGGCAGAAATGTTGGAGCTAATGTTACATTTGCTTTTCCAACCTTTTAATGAATTTTATTACATGTATTTCAAGAATACCCATGATTTTATAGTACACAAAGATAGTAAGAAAGATGGTTACCATAACAAAGCAAGTTAACATATTTATCTTTTCACATGGCGATCCGTTCATGCCTGTGACAAGAGCAAGTAAACCTGTGTGACAAGAGCAGATGAAAGCTACCAATTTATAGAAAATCCCCCAAGTAATACAAAATGTCTTCATGTTGTTCATCAGAACTCTGGACTGGCTCACCCTACATACATGCAGGTATGCATATATTCTAGTTTCTGTCCCCACTCATCTGTCTACATGGCTTGTTTCCATACCTGATTTGTGAATGCTGCTGTTGCAAACATGGGAATTACAAATATCCGTATAGGTTGGAGATTTCAACTCCCTTGGTTATATGGAAGAGGGATGGCTGGTCATACGGCAGTTCTTTTCTGATGCTGTTGGAATCCCCACACTGTTTCCACAGTGGCTGCACTAACAAACATTTCCATCTGCTGTGTGAAAGCCTTTTCTTTTGTCCATCTTCTCCCCAGTACTTAATATCTCTTGTGTATGTTTTTTTTATAATATCCATCCTAACCGGTATGACTTTGGAACTAGGTTTCATAGGGTGAACAACAGTTTCTTGGGCAGAGAAGGGGACTAAGTCTATATATCTATATATCTATATATCTATATATCTATATATCTATATATCTATATATCTATATATCTATATATCTATATATCTATATCTATACCTGGCATAACGAACTCAAGTCCCTGGCTGACCTGTCACTGATAGCTCTATCCTGGTAGCTTCTGCAGTAGAACCACCTAGACTTACTATGGTTTTAGGCATCTTCTTGGCCTCACTGCCTCTGGACGAGGAGTCTCTACAGCTGTACTCCAACCATACACTCCTCTGCCTTGCCTTTTGGTAATAAGTCCTCTGTGTCTGAAGATTCCTGACAATCAATCTTGGTTTATAATTAAATTAATATTTTAAAATCCAGTTTGTGGTGTGTGTGTGTGTGTGTGTGTGTGTGTGTGTGTGTGTGTGTGTGTGTGTTTTGAGAAACAGAGGTTGTTGGCTAAGCCAACACAAGAGAAAGGAAGGAATTGTTTTCAATCTTTGTATCAGTTACACAAAAGTAATTCTACTCCAATTCTCATGACTCACCTGTGAATTTTTTTTTAAGTATCAACTATAATTGTGGGAAGTGACACAGACCTGAAATCTAGCTCACTTCTGCTCTCTCTCTCTCTCTCTCTCTCTCTCTCTCTCTCTCTCTCTCTCTCTCTCTCTCTCTCTCTCCTCTGTGTCAGCTCCCAGTGGTACAACAAGTATGTCTGATTTCTGTGTCTCCTTGGGTTTCTGACTACATTACCTGCCTCTGAACTCAAATAGGGTTTAGAGCTACGAATTCCAGCAGTGTGACCTGCTTGTGTCCCAAATCTGCCTTTTAGATGGCAAATCATTGTCATTTTACAATGACATGCAGAGAAGGTTGGTAACAAGCATTCAGATGTCAGATGTCCGTTTTCTATGTGGATCAGCTTGCATGCGTGCCTGGAACACGTTGTTCTGATCTCATAAAGTAAAATGAGAGGAACATCATCTGTGTAATGCACAGTGTAGACATCCATTGTCACTGGTGAAACCATGTTGGTTAACCTTCCCTGTCAGTCTGGCTTCAACTCGGAGACCAGTGAAGGGCACCGTTGGCTTTATCTGGGAGAGTGTTTCCAGAGAGGATTCACTAAGGGTGGGAAGACCCATCAGAACTACCAGTAGCACCTTCGCATGAGTTAGGGACCTGTACAGACTCAAAAGTTAAAATTAGTTATCCTATGTGACATTTCTTTCTTCTGCTTTGTCACTGTGAAATGAAAACCAGACTTCGTCACATGCTCTCTGCTATGAATCTGTGCCCAAAAGTATGGGGACACATGAATCTGTGTCCAAGAGCACAGGGACACATGAACATGGACCAATCACTCTGAAACCCATGAGCCAAAATAAATCCTTCTCCCATTAGATTGTCTATGCCCTGTACGCTGCCAGAGTGACAGGAAAGACAACTGAGGCCCGGTGAGATGGCTCAAAGGAGAAGGGTGCTTGTTGCCAGCCTGATGGGACTCATGTGGTAGAAGAGGAGAACCAATTCCTCAAGCTGTCCTCTGACCTCCACATGACATGCACACATGCTCACATGCATACCTGTTATAATAATATATAAATGTAAAGTTTTTTAAAAGAAATGTAACTAATATATCACCATATGACTTTATGACATGCCATTTACAAATTCAAAAATTTTTTTTTTCTTTTTTTCTTTTTCTTTTTTTTTTTTTTTTTTTGAGACAGGGTTTCTCTGTGTAGCTTTGCGCCTTTCCTGGAACTCGCTTTGGAGACCAGGCTGGCCTCGAACTCACAGAGATCCGCCTGGCTCTGCCTCCCGAGTGCTGGGATTAAAGGCGTGCGCCACCACCGCCCGGCTCAAAATTTTTAAAATGACATTCTCCCAGAGGCTGAAACAAAAACATGTTCAGGTAGCTGCTCTGGTTTGGTAAGGTTTGTATGTGCCTCACAGAGGCCCATGTGTTGGCAGCTTGGCGCCCAGTTTTGAGCCGAGAGGGCCATCCAATATTGGACTTTCAACTTCCAAAACTGTTAGTAAAATGAACCTCCTCTCTTTGTAATATACTCAGCTGAGGAATTTGGTTACAGTCACAGTAAACAAGCTGATACAGTCCCTGTCAATCACCAGTGACTCTTAAAAGTAAGGGCATGCCATTAGTTTCAGATTTTATTCCCATTGTAGCATATGGTAGCAGCGTGTGAAAATATTTTTCAGTAGACTGAAAAACTTACTGTGACAAGGTATTTTTATGACTAAAAGGTAGGACATATGATTTCACTCAAGACAGAACAAAACAGTGGAAATGGAGACTATGACTAAAGGTGTTGATGTGGAGACATGTAGATGGTGTCTGTCCCCAGAAACCTCTAAGATGGTGACTGAGACTTTACACAGGAGAGGCCTTGAGTCTGCACTGGTTCTCTGCACAAACTTCTGCTGATGGGGGAGCTGGGATGTGCAGTGACTTTTAGGAAGCACCTACAGTAATGCATTTTGAGTAAAGTTCTGGATAATTGTCTCATAAGTTAACATTGCCTGATTTTGGAAGACTTCAACATAGACTAAAAATAAAAGGAGGGCATGGGGGGAGGTAATGCAAGAACTACTTAACATTTTGGGAAAACAAGTCTTAAAATTCAAAATATTTCTTTCCATTTTAAAAATTAAAACACTTTGACATACTTTATATTCTCCCATTTTTTGTTGTCACATAATAATCATACAAATTTATGGGTAGCTTGTGATACACCCATTCATGAACACAATGTGTAATGATCAAATCAGGGTAATTAATGGGTATATTACCTCAAATGCTACTTGCTTCTTTACAATTAAATGCAAATCAATGCCTGCATTAAAATTACAAAAACTCTAGAAAAATCCTTAATTATTTTTGGTCACATGGAGAAAAATAAATTTCTCAGACTTGACATAACATGATTAAGAAAAAAAGACCCTTCAGAAGGGAAATGCAGTGTTTGCTCTAAAATGTCCCAAGGTGAAGCCCTCCTGGCAAATTTTTATTGCTGTGCCACAAACCTCCGTGAGAAGCGGAGTTTATAATGGAAATGCCGAAGCACCACCTTAATTATCCGATTGCCACCGGGCACCGGCATAATGAAGGAATTTCCTGCTTTTTGCACAGCGAATACTAATTGACACTGGAGAAGGGAGATCAAGCGGCCTCCCGGCAGTAAAATGGTGCCATCTAAAGGAGAGGAGAGCAAGCCACAGGGTGACACTTACAGAGGGTTCGGGTCAGCCTGCCCCAGCCCAAAGAAACCATCTTGTGCTCCCAAGACGGCTTGGTTGGTCCCAGGACAGCCTCTTTTACTCCTAGAGTAGCAAACTTTCAGCACTTGGATTTTTGGACCCCAAACCTAAAATAGAATTCTATTGCATTGCTAGCAGAGCTGGTTGCCAGGTGCAGTTGCGGCGGGGGGCGGGAGGGGGGCTCTGCACCTCAGTTTCCTACAGCAGACATTTCGAAGCAGAAGTCTCCAGAGCCTTGGTGGGAGCTATTGGTTGGGCATGTCTGAGAAAAGAGAGAAGGAGAGAGTGGACAGGGGAGAGGGTGAGTCCGGAGAGGTTGGGCGGCAGCAGCAGAACGGAACAAAAGGACGTGGGTCGGGGGTGGGGTGGGGGCAGGGAAGATGCAGGAAGGTTCTTTTGTGTGGATACCTTGCTTTGGGCTGTGCAGTGGAAAATGCAGCCTTCAGTCCCCACAAGCTGTCACATTCGTGCACATAAGGAAAGCAAACAGAGCGGGACAATAAATCGTGCCACATGCTACAGCTTGCAAGCCACAGATTTTTTTTTTCCTTTTTCTGCTTCTAGGACCATGGTGTTTCTCCAAGAATGGGGTCACCAAGGGAAAAGGGTGTATGTCTCCAGACACACATGCTCTTTGGGCCTGCGTGAAGGCTTTTATACCTGAGTTCTGATGCCACTGAAAGACGTCACCAGACCTTCCCACTAGGCACCGTGGAGCAGCACACAGCAGCTGCGTCGTTCCTTACACCCACACAGCTCTGCTTGGAGTGCCAGACTGACTTCCCTCCCCTGCCTTAGGCATATGATGCCTGGAGCATCAAAAATTCGTGTGAGCACAACAGGACTAAAAAAAAAATTGGGATTTTAACTTTATCTTAGACAAACTGTCTAGGAAGGCGAGGTGCTCCTCATAAGCTAGGGCAAGCTTAGCTCTGTCTGTCTCACTTAGAGGCAATGAAGGGGAAACAAATGGTCCTTGATGATCATGGGCCATTAATAGACTGGAAACGATGCAGGCCTGAACTGTCACCTAGCTGTAGCGATCTGGTTAGTAACACGGACTGGACATCAGGCTAACGGTAAATAGGCCGTTTCTAAAGTGGCTGAGAATTCCTATTGCGGTGAGCCACAGAACATTCCCCTGAATGGACGACACTTTTACACTACCCAAATAGGGCCATGAACATTCTGAATCATTTTAATAAAGCAGCTCAACCACTCAGGTGGAGGAGAGTGATTTTGCTGAGACCGTCTCATCCTATGTGTTGCCTCCCCAGAAGGCTCTGCTCCATTACCTCAACCGGCCAGCCTGCACAGACCCGGGATTTCGTCACTAGCAGCTAAGATAACGGCACCAGGTGTTTGTCACTGGGGCAGGACTGCCTGCCCTTCAGACAGGTCAACCTTGAGGGTCTAAGCGAGAAGCCCTCTACCTATTCAGCAAAAGGAAGATGAAGACAGCATCCCAGCTTCCCGCACACCTCTAAGATGGAAGTCGGTCAAGCCAGAAGCAGACTCGTCTGAAAAGGTGACTTAACTTGTTAAACACTTTTGATGAGGCGAGGACTTTGCTTCAAGGAAAAAAAAATAAAACAGCCTGGAGCCTTTCCCCTAAAGTTACAGGGACCGGAGTCATCGCAGGTCCCAGGCAGCACTGGCAGCCTGAGAAAGTGATATTTATCACACTAGTGTCAGTATTCCGCTACACATATAAAATTGTTTCTATGACTGGACATATACTATGAAGATAATTAATACCCTCCTGCCAAGCCCCCACAGCTCTGATTTGATGATTCTGGTTAATGTCTTAAGTGATGTTCCAGAGTTTCTTCAGTATGGACAAGCACATTCAAATGTATTTTGTTTTCCTGTCTTATGAAACAGGCAGCTTACTTTACATGGCGGCTTCCTGTTTTCTGTATACTGGGAGCCTCTGCTCCGCAGCAGGATACCTGGAGGTATCTGGACACTTTTTGCACTTTAAAGTTTTTGACAAAATTCACTTGCTGTGGATATTGTTCTGTATAAATAAAACATTGATTGGCCAGTGGCCAGGCAGGAAGTATAGGCGGGACAAGGAGAGAGGAGAATTCTGGGAAGTGGAAGACTGAGAGAGACACTGCCAGCTGCCTCCATGACAAGCAGCATGTGAAGATGCCGGTAAGCCACAAGACACGTGACAAGGTATAGATTTATAGAAATGGATTAATTTAAGATATAAGAACAGTTAGCAAGAAGCCTGCCACGGCCACACAGTTTGTAAGCAATATAAGTCTCTGTGTTTACTTGGTTGGGTCTGAGCCGCTGTGGGACTGGCGGGTGAGAGAGATTTGTCCTGACTGTGGGCCAGGCAGGAAAACTCTAGCTACATTCACTGTTGCCCAACTTGTGGTTCACATATATTCAGCATGTGCCTCTTACTCTTCCTCCATCCTCAGTGGCTGCCAAAGCCTGCTGGATCCACAGCACCCTGAGAACTCTTACGCCCTCCTGTCTTCCTTGCTGCACCTTAGTGATGCAGCAGACTGAAGTCCCAACATCCCTTGTCACTCTCTTGGGCTCCAAGAACAGGCTACCTCCCCCTGCCTCTTGAGGAATACTGTCCACTAGCTCAGAAACTACAGAAGTGTTCAGCTCTGCCTTCCCAGAGGGGCGCCAGGTGCTTCAGAACTCATTTTCTGCGTTGGTCCAGATGAGTTAGAGGAAGGGCAGCACTCACAACTCCAGGTGCTGATCTGGATTCCAGGTTGCACAATCTCTGTTCTGTTTGCCTGATGCTCTGGACCTGTCACAGCCAACCTGGACCCATTTCACAAGAACAGAGAGTGCTGTGCCTTTCCGATCATCACTGTGCCTCTGCTGGATGGCAGAAATCAAGCAGTCCTGGTACCTGGCTCTGTTATTCTTCAGAGTCTCAGGGGATAAGAGGAGGCTGCAAAGCTTTTGAAGAAATGCAGATTCCTGGGCTGTACCTGTACCCACCAGTCTGTTCCCCAGGATCCTGGAGGGTCATTGAGCACATAGGTTTCTAATTTATCCAGTTGGCCCTAATGGCTTCTAAGAAGGAAGATATCTGCTGTGTTTCCCAGCCTCCCAGCCTGTCATGACTGAGAAAATGAGTAGCGTTTTTGGAAATATGTATATTCTGGTAGTGTCTCATTTTAGAATAAGTGTGAAGGGAATAATCATTTCTCATGCTCTCTGGACTACAATAGGGATCTATCCTAAGCAGCATGGCACTTCGAAATGAAAAAGAAAACAACCAGAGGACTGAATAACCAAAGGAAAAGCACCCCAGCTTTCCTCTGAAAACCATGGGATGTGACAGAGTTGGGTGTCTTGTTAGAAATTTAAGTTCAAGTGCAGCTGACTCTCTGATCACACTGCTCTGCTGGGTCCTGGAAGTGCCTCTCCATCTCTGACAGTTCCTCACTGCATTGGGTGATTTTAGGACTTGCTGTGATTGGTATAGGACTGGTAACACCAAGGCTTTCATGGCTATGCAGGGCTGCTGGAGAACCAACTGTTTTTGTTGAAGGCCATGGGGAAGGCTGAGTGTGTGATAAAAGCTGCAGGGACCGTGGAACAATGCCTCACCAGAGATATAAAAATGGAGGAGATGATAGGCAGCTGATATATCTCTGCTATGGGGCAATTTTTGGTGAATTACGAGTTTGCAGGTTATGGGGAAGAAGAGATGACTCAGTGGCTCAGAATGCCCACCATTCTTGCAGAGGACCTGAGTGTGGCAGCTCACAACTGGAAGCAACTCTAGCTCCTGGGAGATCTGATATTTTCTTCTGGCCTATGAGAGCACATGTATATACTCATTCCCCGCCCCCCCCCCACAAGTACAAATAATTTTTTAAAAAGAGTATACAGAATAATTGATAAAATGGTCATAGTTAAAACACCTTTTATTCACATCTCATGAAATTTGACTTTGCAACTCTCCCTATACAGAGGTAGAATCTATGTGTTTCCCTCTTGAATTAGGGCTGATCTTGTGCTTAACTCTGGCCAACAGAATGTGACTGAGATGCTGAAGGCCAGAGCAAGCCTAGGCCTCCAAAGTCCTTGCATGTCATTCACTCTCCCAGAATCCAGCTTCCGACAGTGACAGGTGTCTGAGTAAGCTTGAAGAGGATTAGAGACCCTGGCTAGCAGAGCCACATCAGGCCATTCTCTTCAATAGGGACTACTGACTGAGAACAACAGACAGAGAAGTTACTGTGTAAGAAGAAAACCCACAGAACGAGCTTCCTTTTCATGGTATGTTTTTCCTATACCTGTCTGTCGTATTACATACTGTAGCATTAACCTTTGTAGTTCAAGATGTGACAGCAAAGTTATTTTTACCTTTTCCTGCTTTCACTGGTGGCAAAATGGTCTTACCATAAGTCCTAGCTATGGTTACTATTGCTACGATGAAGCACCAGAACCAAAGGCAACTTGGGAGGCAAGGGTTTATTTCACTCACAGTTCCATATAACATTTCATCATCCAAAGCAGTGAGGGCAGGAACTCAAGTAGGTCAGGAACATGGAGGCAGGAGCTGATGCAGAGGCCATAGAGGGGCGCTGCTTACTGGCTTGTTCATCATGGCTTTCTCAGCTTGCATTCTTACAAATCCCAGGACCACCATCCCATGGATGGCACTACCCACAATGGACTGGGCCCTTCCCAAATCAAAAACTAATTAAGAAAATGACCTACAGGCTTGCCTATAACTAGATCTTATGGAGGCATTTCTTAATTGAGGTTCCCTCCTCTCAAATGACTTTATTTTGTGTCATGATGACATAAAACAGTCTGCACACCAAAGTTCTTAGTAGCCACGCATGAGTCGTCCATATCCTTTTTAAGTAGAGAACACTGACCTCACTCACAGGACACATACCCTGGCTTCCCTTTGGAGCATCTGAACTGCAGGTGCTCTTCATTTGAGCTGTGGGGCCATTGGTAATGAAGATGAAGTTTACTGTGATTTCCCGATAGTCCATCTGATAACTGAGATGCACTAGAAGATGGGGAGCATCTACTTCTAAGGCATAGGTACTCTGTTCCAAGGCAAGGGCTATGCCCTAGAGGAGATAGAATGGGAAGGCCCTGCTGAGAATTTTATGTTTTTCAATTTTATATGGTGTTCAGTTTAAAAGGTATGAACTATTTCTGGAACTTTCAATCTAATTGCGTTGGTTTACTGTTGACCATGGGTACCTGAAACTGCAGAAAGACTAACTGGGTCAGCTACAATAGGAAGATGTTTCTTGCTGGAATAAAAACTGGCATGTGGTAGGAAGGCCGCATATTGAGAAATGACAATTGGCCTCTAGGTGCCCAGTGTGATTCTGACTGATGCTGAGTAAAAAGATTGGCCACCTCAGTCCTGCAACCACAGGAGCCAAGTTCCACCCACAGTCAGAGGGAGGAGCTTAGCAGAGGACCCTGAGCCTCAATGTAGCTAACTGTCCCTATTGAACCATTTGCTTTAGTCTGAGGACATCTTGAGTAAATTACTCTGACAAGTGGTACCTGGGCCCTTAGCACATGGAAACTGTGAGACAGTCATTGTGTAACCCTTAGCCTTCTTAGTTTGTGATTGTTTCTTACACAGCACAATAAAATAAATATGTTATCTAAAGCAAATTGTCAAAATATGAAAACCTTAGAGAATCTCTGAATATTCTGAAACTTTTCAGTAAATCTGAAATTCGCTTAAAACATGATATCATAAAAAATAAAGCACATATAGGACTCACAATGTGCCATATGTTGTTAGTAGTATTTTTAAAGGATTTATTTTTGTTACTTTTAATTATGTGTATACATGTAGATGTGTGTGGGTATGTGACCATGAATACATATGTCCTTGCAGTTCAGAAGAAGGTATCAGATACCTGGAGCTGGAGTTACAGGTGATTGTGAACTGGCCAACATGGGTGCTGGGAACTGAACCTGGGTTCTCTGCAAGAACAGTATACATTCTTAACTCTTTACCCGTCTCACTAGACACAACAGTATTTAAAACATATTAATGTATTCAAGTCCTAAAAAATAAACAACCCCTTCCCCCATGACTTGTTTTGCAGATAAGGAAACTGAGGTACAGCAATTTCATGTAATATGCGTGAGATTACTGACCTAGCCAAGCACAGATCTGAGCTCGGTTCCAGACTTGATCCTATTTGACACTGACCCGGGGTGACTCAGTACTAAAGGGATGCAATCCTAGTTGGAAGACAGTGTATGTGATTGGGTAGGACTCCTCAGATCCTGGAACCCATAGGAAATCAGGTTCGCTTTGCTCTACTGTTATTTGTCAAGCGTCTGTAGTCACAGTGTGACTATCACAGCAGAAAAGACTTAGAACACCGGAATCCAAAACAGTAGTTTAACTGGCTCCCTATTGACGATTTTATACATTAACACATAAACTCATATTATGGAACTGATCCTATCTACTTCAAATTCTTTTGCCTCCATGCTCTAGCAAGCTACCAAATTTCAAGTTGTCCAAAAATTTTCTCAGAAGGCATAAAAAGTCAGGCACTTAATATGGAACAGAGTCTGAAGAACAGAAGAGATTAAAGCATGAGCTTTTGTATGCTGAACCAGAATCAGTTAAAAATATAGTCCCTACCTTTTACTACGCTGATTCTGTACATTTGTCATACCTTGGGATCTGGAAGAAGTCAACTGAACTCTGTTGTAAAGCCTTGCCTCCTTGAGATCTGTCTGACCTCAGTTAGGCAAATGGTGAGTAATTCAAAGTATTTTTGAATGAAAGTGTCAGTTTAAGATCCTCAGTGTAAAACATACCTACAAAGCCTATTTGCAAAGTAAATTTACTCTGGATTCTTGATACCTATGAAAGTTTTTTCTATGATATTTATTTAAAATTACAACAGTTTACATTAGAAACAAGCTCAAACAATTAAGGTAAAAGATAAATAACTGCATACAGTTTAATTTTACAAAACGCAAACATACATCTTTCATTGTTCCATTATCTGAGTATTAAGCGCCACATAATTGCACAAGGCGTTTTCAAATGTCTTAAAGGCTCTAAAATTACAGAGTTGACTTTTGTGAAATAGTCTTTATTTTCCTCCATTCTTATACAAATAATTGACCACACAGATTAAATTTAAATCAGAACTGGGTGCATCCCCTGTAGAGCTCCTTGACTCTTGTACCTGAAAGTTGGCAGCTAATGACAGCTGGTAGAGCTCCCTTGGGTCCCCAGGAGACACAAGATGGGGGTGATAAGCTTCAAAGATTTCAAGTGTTTCAGTTCGAAGGGTCCTTCAAGTCCTCTGGGACTGGGGTAATATTCCTTCCCGATTTGTGTGAGAAAATGCCCATTCTAACTCCACCAGGTTGACTATAGTAACATCTCCTTTTCATCCTCAGGAATGAAACAGGGTGGGATGACAGTTGGTGAAACGCTGGGTGCTGCATCACTCTGATCTGCTGTCACTCTGGGGGAAGGCAGGAACCCCGCTGCCTTCATCAGTGCTAGCTCTGCATCATGGGAGTGAGGCTGAAGAAGCAAAACGAAGTCTTTTCCTTCCTCATCTTAGAGCAAGAAATTACTCATCACTGCCCAGGGAACACTGGCTTGGAGTTTTTCTTTCATTAAAAAGCCACTCATTTTTGCTAATAAATCACATGGCATGGGTGTAGGAAAAGAAACCAGCTCAAATGAAATGCCCTCCACTGAAGAGTTAACAGTTAGTCATTATCAAGACACATTGGAACAACCAGAAGTGACTGCAATGCTTAGTGGCCAGAGAGTGTTTTCACAGTGTGTTCAACTTTGGGAAAGTCCATCTGGGTTCTCAGAATGCCTTCTGAAACATTATCCCTCTTGCCCTGTCTGTAGTTCCGGGTTTCCTAATTATGATGCTGATTATTACTTGTGTGATTTCGGGGTGGGGGGAGAACAGGGGAGAATAAGGTTGATTGTTAAGGTGCTGAGAACCTGAGGATGAAGACTGGAGGAGAGTTCCTCTCACACAGCATCAAGACCTCTTGACATACCATGGTGAGGCCACCTGGGCCCTGTTACTGGATACCTTAGAGGTGGGGATGCAGCTGCCTACTGAGGGGACAGCCCTGCTGGGATGACCCGGAAAAGTATCTGATTTCACCATTGTTCTTTCTGGGCCTGTCATGAAGCCAAGCATTGTGGAAGTTTCTATTGAATGAGATAATAAAACCGGCTTAAACAGTTTTTGTTGTTGTTGGGATCATTCTAGGCAAGTTAAACAATAGAGCAAAGCGTTTCCAGGTGGCTTCAAAATAATCCAAATGTGTCACAAATATCTCATTTCTGTGCCCAGAATTAAACATGCAGACACGAATAGGAAGGGGCCCCTACTTTTGAGGATCATAGAGAGACATAAAGAACCAGCTACTGTGGCTAAGGGAATGGGCTTAGTCCGTAAAGTGCCTGCCACAAAGCATGAGGTCATGAGCACAATGCCCAGAACTCACACAGAAAGACAGTCGCAGTGGGGATCATTTGTAATTCCATCTCTGGGGAGGCAGCTCGCTGGGCAGGCAGTATGGCCTACTTGGCAGGGGCCGATGCACTGAAAGATCCTGTTTTTAAAAGCAAAGTAGATAGTTCCGAAAAGTTGTCCTCTGACCTCCATACACGTGCCCAAGTGCACATGTATACACACACACACACACACACACACACACACACACACACACCCCACTTATACAACACACAACACACACACACACACACACACACACACACACACACACACACACATATGCACCTACACAGGTACTTCAGGCAGTGTGGTGTAGCTACCATATTAGTGAGACAGACTGGAGTCCAAGTCCCAGCGCCACGCATAAGGGTTTTGTGACTTCAGGAAAATTATTAATAATGTCTCATGCCCCGGGCTAACAACAATGTGAACTTCCAGGTTGTTTGAGGATTAAATATGTTAAGTGTTAAAAGCACTTGGAAGGCCGCCCAGCACACGGTACCCCTTCAGTGAATGACGGCTGTCATTGCTATTTAACAGCTGTGCAACCTGGAGCAGGTGAAACCTGCCGAGTGTGTTTACAGAGGTGAAGGATGAGTACAGTCATAGAATGATTCAGTGGCCGCTGTGCTGCCAGCTCTTGTTTTATTGTTTTCCTGCACCACAAGAGCCGGGTCCCCATTACAGTTCCCTTTTCAATTATGAGGACACTAAAATTAAAAGCCTGAAGCTGGGTTATCACTCAGCTACTCAGAACCAAAGCCTTGCGCTGTGCCAGAAGCCCAGGACAGAACACCTGGGCCAACATCTGCCATGAGTGGGGCTCAGCAGGTGTCTCCAGGGTCCTCTTGAGCCAATCTGTGCTTCCATTCCCCCACTGCTATCTGCTCAGTTGATTAGAGCTCCATGCCATCGTCACTGGAAAACCCTTGAAAATATGGAGAGGGACATCACTCTGCCCTCATGGCTGAAAGCTCTCAGGTACAATGTGCAGCCCTAAGCTCTCCGTGAAATCAAGCAGGCAAGAGTTTCATATGAAAGCACCCCCTAGCCTCATTCTGCTTCTCCTCGTGCTCCCCACCCCACAGCCCACGCCTGTCCTATCCATTGCCACTCTCCCTAGGAACAAGTCCTTGATACACTGCTACACCCGAACTCTAAATGTAGGGTCGGATACTCGGGAAGCCTGAAATGAAACTGCCTGGGGATACCTCCATCGAAGATCTCAGATGAGTATACAGTCCTTGCTTTGTTCATCAAAATCAAATATAAGGTGCTGTCCCTGGGACAGAGGGCTGACCTAAAAGGCTGGGGATCTTCAAGGCTAGCTTGGTTTCAGTTCTCCTTCCCAAGTCATAAGTATTTGTCATATACTGAGACACATGCTTACTAGGGTTTGCACAACTTAGTCTGTTGAAGAGCTCCTGGAGGATGGCTATGTACTGAACACCAACTCCTCTGCTTACTGCCATAACTCTGACAACTACCATCACTACTTATGGTGTCCTCAGAATAAGCCTGAGAAGTGGTCATTGCTGGGCTAGGAGGCAGATCCAAGCAACAGTTCCTCATCTTAGTCTCAGCTGTGTGCCTATGACCTTCCAGGTCTATAAACTGCTGAATACACAGTCCTGGCTCCCATCCCAGATGTACCAGTCAGATTCCCAACAACAGAGTTTGGAAAACCCTGTGGTTTTTCTACTCATCCACATTTGAGAATTAGGATAAGAAATTATGGGCTCTCAAGTGATGTTCTAGCTGGTGTTTTGATTAGGATGAAACCATGTGAAATGTAAATATGTGTGTGACTGATGCTTGGTGTCATTGTTAATTGTCCAAAGTATCTCATGGAATGTGTGCACAGGGGTAGAATTTGGGGATAAAATTTACTTCCAAAGGAAGCCATCCAGTGTTTCCCTCAGGGACTTTTTCAAGGGGCCTGTCACAAGGTGCCAAAGCAAATTTTGTGCAAACTGCATGCAGGCCATCAGTGTTTGCTGACCACAGAACAGCTGCATTTTGATGAACACACTCCAGTCCCAGGTACAGATAATGTGTCATCTCCTACCACCCTCCTAGAGTGTGTCCTGGTGGAGAAACATGAGCAATGGACTCGGAATCCAAACTCAGGTTGCTATCAGCGCTCTTGCTATGGGTTACTTTCCCTGTTCCCTAGGATTCTGGTGCGATCTCTGACTGCTCCCTTCTCCATCCTCTTTCCTGCTCTGTTTGAACTACTGTCTTCTGTAGGACAAATGCTCAAACTGGACATGGCTACCTACCAACTACCACTGGTTGGGAGAACATAGACTACTCTCAGGTCCCCAGAAAGCCTTGGGAGAAACCTGGGGGTCCAATAAAGTCAAGTCTCTTAGGTTTGCTGAAGCCAGGGAGAACGTGGCCTTAAGAGGCTTAGTGATGTCTTAGAATGAGGACCTAGGAAGCTTATGCCACAAGGGCTCTGGGTTAGCGGGCGCAGCAATGGGTTTGAGGAGGAAGCACCTTTCCTGTCTGATTAGCTCTTGCCTGGTCCAGAGTTTTTAATCTTACAAGAGTAGATGCTTACTTACTTAACTGCTTACTAGCAATTCTTTTTTTTTTTAATTTAAAAAATTTTACTCATTTTACATACCAACCACAGACCCCCCTCTCATCCCTTCTCCTGCTCCCCCTCAGCCTATCCTCCACTCCCATCCCCTCCTCCAAAATGGTAGGGGCTCCCATGGGGAGTCAGCAAAGCCTGGTACATTCAGTGAAGGAAGGACCAAGCCTCTCTTCCCTGTGTCAAGGCTGAGCAAGATATCCCACCATAGGTAATGGGCTCCAAAAAGCTAGCTCATACATCAGGGATAGATCCTGATCCCACTGCCCCTCAGAAAGATCAAGCTACACAATTGTCTCCCATATGCAGAGGGCCTAGTCTGGTCCCATGCAGGTTCCTACATGGTCCAGTTGTCTCTGTAGATTTCCCCATCACGATCTTAACCCCTCCTTGCTCATATAATCCCTCTTCCCTCTCTTTGACTGGACTCTTGGAGATGGACCTGGTGCTTGGCTGTGGATCTCTGCATCCGCTTCCATCAGTAACTGGATGAAGGCTCTATGATGACAGTTGGGGTATTCACCAATCTGATTACTGGGTTAGGCCAGTTCAGCACCTTCTCCACTATTGCTAGCTTACTACCAATTCTGAGTGTGCAGTCATGTTTGTCTGTGGCCCGGATTATGTGGCACTATAAAATGCACCGTCTGGGACCACACCCATGGTAAACGCTCAGCAACTTTAAACTTCCATATTCTCATCTTGACAGAGTCCAGAATGCCTTATTTCTGTGAATTTCCCCTATCATGGTATAAGAACAAAACAATGACTCCCAGACGTGTGTGCTAAGTCATGGAGACCCAGAGGAAGAAAGATGCCTCCAGAGTGTGTGCAAATCATGGCACTGACCCACATCCTTACCCAGTGCTGCTGACACAGATCCCTCGCTTCTTGAAGCATATGAAGCCCTGGAAGAAAAAGGTAGGTACTTCATTAACTCCTGTTCTCTCTATATACTGTATAGGGAATAGGGGCTAAAAAATAATCAGCACTTGTTTGTGTGTTCATGTTCGTGTGTGTGCGCGCATGTGTGCATGCATGCATGAGAGAGGGGGAGAGAGGAGAGAGGAGAGAGGAGAGAGGAGAGAAAGAGAGAGAGAGAGAGATCCTAGGAGCAAACCTGCATCCGGGAGCTGAGTGCAGGTGGTTGATCTAGGAGGCGGTCCCATGATGCAGGAGTTAGAGGAGGGGAGGCAGGAAGCCATGCAGTATAGGCTACAGAAGCCTTCATGAGGAGAGGAAGCCAACAGAGTTCTATTCTCAGAGCATTTCCACTTGTAAGCAAATGAAAGCAACAGGAAGAGTGCCCTTCAAACAGAGTAACTTGAAGAAAGATCTTTCCCGACAAAGGAATACAGTTAGATACCATACCCTCCTCTCTTCCCAGCCAAGCTTTGGAAGCTGTTCTGGAAGGCTGAGCCCTAGATCCCATTGGCAATCTTTATGCTCTTGATTCAGGTGTCAGACCTTAGGTAAGGCTTTCAAGCTTCTTACACATAGAGTCAAAAGTGATAGAAGGGGAACACCCACAGCAACCAGTCCTCTATTCCTCATCAGCAGGACCGGGATGGGCTATGGGCAGCACTGGCTTCTCTCTACTAAGGGTCCTCGGAAGGTGAAAAGGGTACAAGCCCCTGGCTGTGTGGACTCACCACAGCTGGGGTGAGGCACACCCACCCTGAGATGTGGGATAGTCTGCGGTTTACTCTCTCTTTTTCTCCTCTCCCAACTGGGCTTTTCAAAAGTATTAGTAATTCTCTGCTGTCCCCAAAGCAGATTCTATAACTATGACAAGCCATACTGATAGTTACCACTGTTACTAAGAAATTGCTAGCAACAAAGGAAGGCTTTTCACATTTGGAAAATGGGCAAGATATCTGCTTTTTTTTTTTTCTGTGAAGGGTGGATCAGTCTGACTTCACCTGGGCTCTGAAGACTACACTCCTTCTTTTAAGGGAAAAAAAAAGAAGAGTATTAGGCAACTCCTGTGGGAAAGATGTGCAGATTTGTTTAAAAATAGTCTTTTGTTTTAGTGGACCGAATTCAGCTTGGTCACCATCTTTCACTATTAGAATGAGAACTTGGAGACACTGGCATTCACAGGTATCAAAGAAAATTACTGTG